TACTTACAGTAATTATAGTCTCTGTATATGGCCATGCCTAAAAAATAAAACAAAACAGTCGCTTCCACAGAAGCATGTGGAAATTTGTTTCTGGCTTGTAATGGAAACCACAAGCCGAAGAGCCTGTTCTCTGTGACTACCTCTTTGATGCAGAGTTGGCGTTAGGCCTTTGCTCAAAACAGGAAATTTGATTCTTCTAGGTGAATACCAGACTAGTCTGCTTCGCTGCTTACCAGTGTGCTAATAAGATAGTTCGTTTATACTTTAAAACACAAAAAGTTTTAGATATTATGGAAAATACTTTTCCAATGCGTGCCCCATGCACACCCTGGGGACTGCACCCAGGGCCTTGTGTGTGCAAGGACCTGAACACGAGCTACACCCTCAGACCCTTTTTTAGTTTATTTGAATGAAGGATCTCACTGAGGTGCCCAGGCTGGCCTTGAATTTGTGATCCTTCTGCTTCTGCTTCCTGGGTAGCTGGGATTATAGGGATGTGCCACTGTGCCAGTTTTTTGTTTTTTATTTTATTTTATTTTATTTTTATTTATTTGTTTGTTTGTTTATTGGTACTGGGGATTGAACTCGGGTCCTTGCGCTTGCAAGGCAGGCCACCGAACCGCTGAGCTAAATCCCCAGCCCTGTTTTTTGTTTTTTAAAAGACACAGTCTCCCAATATCGCCCAGGCTAGTCCGGATCTCCTGGGCTCAAGTGATCTTCCTGCCTCAACTTCGAGAGAACATCTGAAACCGTAGGTCCACACCAACATGCCTGGTTCCCAATGAGGTTTTTAAATCAAAACCACTGTGTTTTTTATGATGTTGGTTAATTAAGATACATGTACTGAAAACAGATGCCCAATAGTGTTAATGCTCCAGGGGACAGGTTGAGAGATAAATGCAACCCAGTTTCTGCCTTCAAATTATCTTACTTTCTAGCAGGAAAGAAAACATGAGTGCAAATGATATTTGAGTTGGAATACTGCATAAGGAAAGAAGAGAGGAAATACATAGGGCAGAAAGAAGTATACAGAATCAAGATTATTCATTCGGAAGATGGGTGTTCAGAGAGGACCATGTTTAAATCCAGACCTTAGGGTTCAGTATAACACTCAGGAGCCCCGTCAGTACCAATGAAGGGATAGCTCTTTCAGTCCTATCCTCGAAGTCGTTTGTCATAGAATTGCTGCTTCTTCTGAATAAAAACCCAGCGTACACTTTACTCACTCACCTAACTGGCAGGTGCTCTTCACCTATATTTGATTATGTGCTGAGCATTATGCATAGCCCCAAGGGAACAAAAAGTACAGTGCTGGCCCTGCTTTGAGTTGCTCGTGTGGACGGAATGGGTGTGAGTAGAGACCTTTCTTGGGAACTGTGAAGAGGGGCATCCGACCCAGTCCATAGTAAACTTGATCTGTTAGCTTCTTTCACACATAGTCAGTTCTGGTTCTTTTACCTAAGTGGTCAAAAGCACAAGCTCTGGAGGCAGATGGCCTGGGCTCCGACTCCAACACCGCCACTAACCTCCCTTGCCTCAGTGTGTTTGTCAATGAAAGGGCCACAAAAGTAATGGCTATCGCATAGGGACATTGTGAGGATTAAAACGATACACATGCTAGACTCTTAGGATGATGTTGGTATACAGGAAAAATCTGACAAACACCTGTGTGCCTACCACCTTCTTGACAGATCATAACCTTAAGCCAGATATGCTTCATTTTTCAAAAGAAATAAAATATTACAGTCGCAGTGGAAGTCCTTCTAATCCTCCCTGACGGTCTCCCTCCTCTAGAGTAACTACCCTGTCGAATTTGGTGTCAGTTCTTGGCACTGTGTTTTCATACTTTCTGTGTGTACATGGGATGATTTTAAAAATTAACTTAAAGGAGGGGAGGTTTATTTACTTCATTTCAGAAGGCAAAAGATGCCCAGTATGTCCACATAAGGGAAAACAGGATAATGGCACTATGTCTTTTACTGTAATCATTTAAAAATAAACATTCAACGTATTTTTCAGAGGATTCAGACCATAGTAGCTGGCTTGAAAGTAGACTCCTCCTAGCGAAAGGGTGTGGCAAAGAAAAGCTGCTAAGGTCAAGGCAGCTGGGAAGGAGAGCAGGGGATGGTGCCAGAGACGAAAGGGCCAGGAACCCGATATGGACCCTGAGGTGTCCCACCTCTTCAACCCATCCAGACACATCCAGGCATCCATGTTCAAATTCAAATCATTAATTTCTTCAAGAGATGCTAGTGAGCCAGGTGTGGTGGCACACACCTATATTCCTAGCACTTGGGAGGCTGAGGCAGGAGGCTCAGTGTGAATTTGAGGATGGCCTGGGCTACCTAGTGAGTTCAAGATCAGCCTGAACTACACTGCAAGACCCTGCCCCACCCCCCCGCGCACACACACACACACACACACACACACACACAAAGCTAGTTCAGAAAATTTAATATCTTTTACTTGAAAGTTTGGCTGTATGAAATAAGAATAGCTGTTATTGTGTGCTTAGTGATGTCACAGGGGTTCTGTTCTTATACCATTTAATCATCACAGTGATGCCATAAACCAGACACTCTCAACACTGCTGCTTATAAATGAGAAAGCCACGACCCGGGCAAGTCACATGTCCACTCTCACGGACTTTACTGGCATTTTACTATGGTTGTCTTCCCCTAAAGGTGGCTGTGGAGAAATATGGTATTAATCTAATTTGTTTGCCCTTAAAAAAGCTTTGATGTTTTTGCCTAGGTGCTCAAAGGATATCCAGTAAATGTCAAAGGGATATATCATAGAAGTCATTAGGGCCAGTTTTCCTTGGGATGTTATGTGTTTTCTACCCATACATTGAACTATTCTTTCATTTATATGAAGTGTCCTTGAATTCTACTTTGAATATTTTTTTCGTTTCCACTTATCCCCCACCCCGTTCTCCCTTGTGTGGATCTACTGGATATCTTTTTTTTTTTCTTTTCCTGTGTCTGTAAATTTATCTCAAATTTGCTTTCATTTTGTAAATGCCCATTTCATTTTGCTCACTTTCCTCAGTATAGTCCTCATAAGCCATACTTTGTCCTTTTTTTCTTTCTTTCCATCACTATTTACAATGTGGCTTTCATTTCCAGGATTTTTCTCTTCTTCCTTTCTGAATTTTGTTAGCTTATTTTACATCTCCTTCTGTTGCCTTAACATTTCTTCTGCTTTGAGGTCTTATTTTAAACTGTTTTAGTGAATTCTTTTTATTCACAGCAATATGTTCAGCCTGCTTCATGGTAACATTTTTTATGGAAAATTTCTTTAACATTTGCACTTTCTATTCCATTTTTTATACTATTTCCTTCCTCCCATCCTCTCTCCCCCTCTCTCCCTCTCTCAGGGCACTGAACAACACCCCCAGCCTTTTCTACTTTTTTATTTTGAGGCTGCTGTGCTGTGGCCACCACCAGTGGTGGTGTAGTGCTGTAATCTCAGCACTCAGCAGACAGGCAGGAGTTTGCGGCCAGCCTGAACTATACAGCAAGACAATGTCTCAAAACAATAAAGTGTGTCAGGATCTAAGTTACCTATGCTGGCCTTGAATTTCCCATTCTTCTGCCTCCTCCTCCTGAGCAGCTAAGATTGTAGGGAGGTGACTGTATCCAGCCTTCCTAATTCTTATAAATTTACAGTATAGATTTCTTGCTTGTATTCTTTTATTTTTCATTCTTGTGGTTTTTGTTTGTTTTGTTTTTTGAGACAGGGTCTTGCTATGTAGTTCAGGCTGGGCTTGAACTCGATATGTATGAATTCACGGCAGTCCTCCTGCCTCAGACTGGGATTACAGGTGTCTGCCACTATGCCTGGCTATTACTCATTCCTATGTAAAATGAGTCTTCCCCAACTAGCCATTTGAACATTTGTATGATGCAGCTAGTACAGTGAAGCTGCCTGAGTTTCTGTGTGTGTGTGTGTGTGTGTGTGTGTGTGTGTGTGTTGTGTGAGAAAGAAGGAAAAAGTGAGGTAGAGAGACAAGAGACATACAGATTGGCTTAAATTCTCTATTAGCTACCGTGCTGCTCATAACATAGTCTTCTAGCTCTAGGTTGTGAATTGCCTCCAGCAAATACATTTTAAAGGATTTCATCTTTATTACATGAGCAGTCACCTCTGCCTTGCACTACTGTTTCATGATGCCACATAGTCCGGGGAAGTTCCCACAGCTTGTGCCCCTGAAGCCTTCATTGTAAACCAAGGTGATAGTTGTGTTCCTCAGATTCTCTCCTACTTGGTGCCCTGCTACCTTTGAGAACTGAGGTCACAGCAGATACTTGCTCTCAGCCTCCTTCTGCAGTCTGGTGTAACCTGCTGAATTTAGCACATCATCCTTATTTACTGTGCCTAGGGTTAGAAGATACCTTCATCAAAGAGAATTTGCATTCATCTTTCTCTTCTTGTTTTTGTGTGATCTCAAGGATGAAAAAATGGCTATCTTTATTTTGTTGTTTTAAGTTACTGTGTTAAACTTTTAATTTTATTTTAAAATCAAAGTCATTGTTTTTTAAATAGAGAACCTCAGCTGGGTGTTATGGGGTCCACCTGTAATCCCAATATAGTTTGTAATCCCAGGCTAAGGCAGGATGATCACAACTTCAAGCCTTGCCTGGGCAATTTAGCAACTTAACAAGACAGTTTTAAAATTTTAAAAAGGACTAGAGGTATAGCTCAGTGCAAAGGCCTTGAGTTCAGACTACAGTAAGCCAAAGGGGGCTGGGGGAGTATGCCTCCACTCTTAGAAAAAGTAAAGATTGTGTTAAATGGGAAAAATCATTTCAGAATTCTGTGTACATCCCAGGGGCAATGAACCTTAGTATATAACAAAAGTTAGAATCAGAGCTTGGATTCAAATCCAGGTCTGTGTAAATCCAAAGCCTGAGTTCTTTCCATGAGAGAACTTTTCTTTTCCAGATGTTTCTTCTTATGAACATTTTTAATTAACTTTTTTATTTCTTGGTTTTTAGTGTGACAAGTACAAGACTGGAGTTATTGATGGGCCAGCATGTAATAGCCTTTGTGTTACAGAAACTCTTTATTTTGGAAAATGCTTATCCACCAAGCCCAACAATCAGGTATGGACACTGAAAATATCATAGAATGTCATTGAGTTCTAATTTCACCTTAAACTAAAAGCTTTATTAAAATAATTTTCGAACAAGAGATTTAGGACATTACATGTATTTTAAGTTTGAATGCTTTGATTCATTCATTTTAAAACATGTTAATTCCCTAGTCCCAGAATATTCCAGGCATTGTTTTAATTATTAGAAATACAGTGACGGTTAAGACAAACACGATTTCTTCCTCTATGAACCTTCCGTTATCCCAGAGGGAAGTAGATACAAATGGTTGGTAGATAAACAATAAGTAAACAATGTAATTATGAAATATGGAGTGTTCTGTGTAGAGATCCATGGAGTGAACCGATAAGAGGATGCAAGGAGTGAGCTGGTACAGAGGTGCTTTAGAGGAAGGAAGTCTTCAGAGAAAACCTTTCAGAGATCACAGCTGAGCTCATACTTGAATGTAGAATTAAACTATAGGCACAGGATAATCAAAGTCATAAAAGAGCCACAAAGCACTGGTAAACATAATGAAAAGTTATGTCTCACTTATCATCTAAGAAATATAAATAAAAACAATAAAATACCGTGGAACTAGACGAAAATATAACAAAACATCCTTGGGCAATGGCAATTCCTGTTTTTGCCCCTTGAATATGGGGGATTGAATCTAGGATCACTCTATACTGAAGTACATCTCGAGCCCTTCTTTTCTTTTTTTGAGTCAAACACACCCTACATTGCCCAGGCTGGGATTGAACTCACAGTTTTCCTGCCTTCACCTCCCAGAGTGCTGGGATTGCAGGCATGCACCACTGTGCAGAGCTGAACTTTATGTTCTGAGAGAAGATATATAATAAATGTATGGATAAATAACATAAGATAATGTCACACAGTGCTGAAGGGTATGAGGAAAACAAAACAAGATGAGTTAGAGGCAGCTCAGGGGTAGAACCTATTATACATAGGGGGTCAGGAAAGGCCTTTCAAAATGATATTTGAGCTAACATTTGAATGATGTGGAGAAGCTAGCCAGAGTGAAGCAGATCATGAAGCAGAAGGAAGTTTAGTAGGTTCCGAGAAGGATCAGAGTAGCTAGGGCATAGTGAACCAGGGACAAAGTGATAAAAGGTTAAGTTGGAGAAGTAGGCCAGGCCAGCTCAACAGGCTGTGGAGTCTATGAGTTTTATTCTAACTGAATTGGGAATTTACTGGAAAACTGATGAGGATGATGTAATCTTTGTATTAATATTATTAATATGACTAGGTGCTAGATATTGAACCCAGGCCTTTCCACATGCTAAGCACACATTCTGCCATAGTTATACCGTGCTCTTTTTACTTTTTGAAACAGGGTCTAAGTTATTCAGATTGGCCTCAAACTTGCAATCTTCTTGCCTTAGCCTCCTGAGTAGCTGGGGTTACACCATGCCCGGATCCTGTTTATTTTTTATACTAAAAAAAGCCAGCCATTAGAATTAAGTGGTTAGGATCAGGAGCTCTTAGTCTTGACAAGCTACACAATATATTGAATTATGAAGATTCATACATGACACAGCCATGTCCGTTCATTATCCAGTGCACGTTGTTCATTGTGTCTCTACTCCAGCGGGGCATTCAGCAGTGTCTTGAGTCCACCTGTTTACACAGGTATTTACCCCATCCAAAGGTGCCACTCGGGTATTTACAGATACTTATATTGTTATTTACTTTAAGTATTAGCATCGATAATATTTGCATTTTATTATATTTTATAATTCAATACATCATGAATTGAAATGGACATACTAAATGTGTCTGGCTGACAGTCTTAACTGGGACTTACTTTGGGGGTAAAGCTTGCTTTATGTGCATCCAGAAGTCATGCTAGAACTTATTTTCCAGTCTAGTATTTGGGGGGAAATACAGTATGTGCGCATGCGTGCACGTGTGTGTGCACGTGTTTAATTGGGGACTGAAGCCAGGGCCTTCCCACTAAGGTACATCTCCAGTCCTTGTTTTGTATTGAGACTAGGTCTCACCAAGTTGCTAAGTTGCCCAGGTTGGGGTGAACTTTCAGTCCTCAGCCTCTGAGTTCTGGGATTATAGTCATGCAACACCACGCCCAACTTGTAGAGGTATACTGTTTAGATTTGCTGCTCAGTATAATACATAACTTCTTTTTCTTTTTCACAAAGATGTATTTAGGGATTTGGGATAATCTACCAGGTGTTGTGAAATGTCAAATGGAACAAGCACTCCATTTTGATTTTGGAACTGAATTGGAGCCAAGGAAAGAAATAGTGCTATTTGATAAGCCAACTAGGGGAACCACTGTACAGAAGTTCAAAGAAATGGTTTACAGTCTCTTTAAGGTAAGTGTTATCTATTCACATGTTGTTAGTGTAGTCTCCACCAAGAAAGACTGGCAGGGCCCCATCCTAAGTTACTAACATTTTGATACTTTACTTCCTGAGGAAATGATTCAAAGAAAGGAAAAAATACATGTTGGCGGAGATATAACATTTGCAATAGCTAATAATGTCCAAGATATGAGGGAGTTCATTGTCTAGTTAGACTGCTGTACATTTCAACATTAAAGCGGATAGAAGTTAAAATCAAATTAGTGCACTATGCCTGAGGTGGTGGTATATTCCTGTAATCCTAGCTATGTGGGAGCTTGAGGTGGGAGGTTATTGCTTCACCCTGAATTTGAAGTCAGCCTAGGCAACACAGGAAGATCCTGTCTGAAGAAAAAAAAATTAGTGTACTGATTGCAAATTAAAGAAATACTCACTTGAAGACTAAGCAAAAATGAAAATGATGAGTTGAAAAGAATTTGCTTTGCTGTTTTATTTTTACTCAAAAGCTTTCTTTGGCTGCTTTACATGCATTTCAGACTATTTTCTCCCAAAGAACCCTAAAAGGGAAAACATTTTAACCTCCATTATCAAAACAATAAAATCATTGTTCATTTGATAAATATATTTTCACTTGACCAATGTTACAAGTTTGATGTACCTTAAAATGAAAATTGGAGGCCAGGGATTTAGCTCAGTGGCACCGCACCTGCCTCACAAGCGCAAGGTTCTGAGTCCGATCCCCAGTACCAAATAAATACATACATACATACATACATACAAATAGATGTGGCCTCTGCATTCTGATCAGCACTATTATTTTAAAAAAGTAAATTGGAATTAAATGTGTAAGACAAAAAACATGTAAGTATCCTAGTACTATCCTAAGTCTTAGAGGGCTGAAGGAATTAGGGTGGCTATTAACAAATGAAAAAAAAATTTAAAGGATTTAGCTGGGCATGGTGGTACATGCCTAGAATGTTAGCAGAGGATCGCTGAGTTTGCAGCCAGCCTGGGCTAGAGTGAGGTCAAGGCCAGCCTGAATTACATATTAAGACCCTGTCCCCAAAAGAAGGTGGGGGCAGGCATCACAGTTACATAAAAAATTTTAAGCATCACATTTGGAGATTTAACAGATTTCATCCTTTACAGGGACTCAGTAGCAGGATTATCACTAGTATGGTAATAACACCCATACAGCAACTTAGTATGTTAAATAGGAGGTATTTTCCATTCCTTCTATGTAAATGTCACATTCTTGTCTTGACAGGCAAAATTAGGTGACCAAGGAAACCTCTCCGAACTGGTTAATCTCATCTTGACAGTAGCTGATGGAGACAAAGATGGCCAGGTATCCTTGGGTGAAGCAAAGTCAGCATGGGCACTCCTTCAATTAAATGAATTTCTTCTCATGGTGATACTTCAAGACAAAGAACATACCCCAAAACTAATGGGATTCTGTGGTGACCTCTACGTAATGGAAAGTGTCGAATATACCTCTCTCTATGGAGTGAGCCTCCCGTGGGTCATTGAACTTTTTATTCCATCTGGGTTCAGAAGAAGCATGGATCAGCTGTTCACACCATCATGGCCTAGAAAGGCTAAAATAGCCATAGGACTCCTAGAATTTGTGGAAGATGTCTTCCACGGACCCTATGGAAACTTTCTCATGTGTGACACTAGTGCCAAAAACCTAGGCTATAATGAGAAGTATGATTTGAAAATGGTGGATATGAGAAAAATTGTACCAGAGACAAACCTCAAAGAACTTATCAAGGATCGTCACTGTGAGTCTGACCTGGATTGTGTGTATGGCACTGATTGTAGAACTAGTTGTGATCAAAATACAATGAAATGTACTTCAGAAGTAATACAACCAAACTTGGCAAAAGCCTGTCAGTTACTCAAAGACTACCTATTACGTGGTGCTCCAAGCGAAATTCGTGAAGAATTAGAAAAGCAGCTTTATTCTTGTATTGCTCTCAAAGTCACAGCAAATCAAATGGAAATGGAACATTCTTTAATACTAAATAACCTAAAAACATTATTGTGGAAGAAAATTTCCTACACAAACGACTCTTAATTTGGACAGTTACCATCATAGGAAACTTCTGAATGAAGATGCACTTTGAACATTTAAAAGAATGGCTTCTGGTTCAGAGATCCTTTCTCTTGGGGCCTAAGAAGCCATCATCTTAAATAGACATGATAATGGTAACGGCAGGCAGTACAGATGAACATCTCCAGAATATTTCACTCCTTTGTTTTTTGAGATGGGGTCTTGCTCTGTTGCCCAGGTGTATCAAACTCCTAGACTCCAGTGATTTTTCTGCCTGAGCCTGTGTGCTGGGACTATAGGCAAACGCCACCATGTGCCAATTCCTGCTTTTAGAAGTCCTTACATTTGCCATTTACATTCACTGTGTAACTACTTTGAAGAGTGACTTTTAAAAAAACTGTGAAAAGCCTCATTCCATAAACATCAACAGTGAGTACTTTGTGGATTTATATTAGCCAAAATACCATTGCTGGAAACATTGTTTTCATTGAAGCTATTTAAAATTTATACAAAGTTACTAATGTCTTAGCATGGTAATGTTTGCACATTAGACTGCAAAGCAGATTAAAATTACTCCTTTATAAAACAGATGTTGAGTCAATAGCATGATTTATTGTACTATACTTACATAATCTTAACCTCATACATCAAATGTCATGGGTACTTTGAGAACATTCCCTGGTTTTTAACATAAGAAAATATTCTACTTAATATTCAGTTAACACTTTTAGTGGCTGAATTTTCACTAACCTACAGATTGGATGGGGCGGGGCATGGTGGCACATGCCTATAATCCCAGCACTCTAGGGAAGCTGAGGCAGGAGGATCACAAGTTCAATACCAGCCTAGACTGCATAGCAGGCTGTTTAAATTAAAAAAACAAAAAAAACTGGATGGGCCCATCTTCATATCAGCCACACCTACCAAGCCCTTAGAGAATGTAGCTCATTGGTAGTGCTTGCTTAAAAGCTCGAGGCCCTAGGGCTGAGCCCTCGCACTGCAAGAAACATCTTGAGGCCACACACCAAAGAGCCACTTACCCTGAATTTGAGCTATGGGGAAACTGGTTAACTGTTAAGAGCAAGACTAAACCATTAAAGACTTATTTCCCATCTTCAGTGTTTTCTGTGGGCTAAAGGGCTGTTTCTTAAGACGCACGTAAATTTATCCACCATTTTTTCCCAAACTTGATATCCAAGATGTTAATTAAAATTTGATCCTCTTCCATGTATTTTCATAGTCAGATCTGGCATGTGCCCTTCAACATCTCCATAAAATGAGATATCTCTTGAAACTGGAAGCACTACTGTTTTCTACCTGGCTAAAGCAAATATATTAAATCTGTGCTCTTCATTTGCTTTCTTTCAAAATTTTAAAGCCATGGATCAGTACGAGTTTTGTTTCCTTTGAGACTATATACTTTTGAGATATGTTTTCTTCCCATTAATGATCCGGTTATAACAAATGGACAGAAGAATTACTTCCTAGTGATCATAGATTGGTCTGTTGCTTGCCAAACTTTTAGGGAGAGCTATACCATACAATTTGAGGGACACGAAAAATAGGTATGAACTTTGCTGGAATCAACATGCAAGTTGGTTGCTTCTAGAAAATATTACACCTGTTTCTTGGAAAAAAATACCTGTCAACTTCTTTGCTTTTATACTTCAGTGTATTTCTTAGACTCTCATAACAAGAGCTTAACACAGAAGCAGTTGCTTGATGAATAAGTTTATTGGTTGTCATCTGAAAACTCTTCATAGAAAATTTGGTTTAACTCTCAGCAGCCCGCTCCTGAGCTCTGAGGAAGCTTGCCTTCTTTTGAGCTACCCTATCTTTCTTCTGGGCAAGGGACATTTTGGGACGGTTCCACCTGTAAAACGAAAGAAAAACAGGAATGTATTTTTTGAAACCATAGCTAAAGAGAATAAAGAATATTAACTTCAGTTGAAAGTGACACTTTATTATTAGATGAGGGTTAATCTAAATTCTAACAAATATATTCTTATTTTCTTATTCTTAAGCTAACTTTCTCAACCACTTGTGTGATGCTGTCCTCTTACCACAGGGTCAAAAATCAAATAAAAAAAATGACAGTACAATGGCTACGTGTGCATTTTTTTTTTTTTTAATCTACTGAAAGATGAAAAAGCCAACTCTTTAGACAGCCATTTTAAAATGCAGTAACTCATACTGTATGAAGACAGAATGGGCAACCTCGGTAGCTTCTGAGGCTAATACATTCCTATCACCACATATTACTTTAGCAAACCTGGTTCCCTTAGCTTCTGCCACATCACGCAGAGCTAGTGATCGAGTTTGCACAACTTCACTGAAAGCCTGACCCATAAAATGAAACACTGCGTGTGAGAACACTCCCAACTTCTCTTGGAAAGACAGCAAGACACATACCTCTTCTTTTTAACTTCTCTCTTCGGCTTCTTTTCATAAACTGGATTCTCTCGTATAGCCGTATGAGCTTTCTTATACATCTCCTCCATCTGAAACAAAGAAAAGCAAACAGTACTTGGTTTCATTTCATATGCCCTACTATATTAAGGCAAAGTATTCAATTTATTTTATTGTCTTTCTAAGCCTGATTCTCAAAAGAAACTAACAAATTCCCAATGTTTACCTTACTCAATGTGAACCTATACTATTCACAAAACCCAAGGAAAAGCTGTTGTGTTGCTGAGGAATTCAGCCATACTTGAGTCACTCTAAAGCAAATTTTATTTTGCAGAACATACACTGTGATCCTCATTCTAAAAACAATGCCCTAAATTCTTTCATTTCAGTAAGGACACATGCTAAAACTAAGGTATTTAAGATGTTAAGATGCAAAATATACAGGGCCAAGAGTCAGGAAACTGAAGAGCTTCACTGAGACAAAGGACAAGACACTAGGGGCCAATAAGCAACTGCTACATTCTTTTGTTACATTCCCCAGTAATATACCGTATCTCTGGAAGTAGAAAGGTCTGAATTTTCCAGAAACTCTGAAAGACCATCAATCTTGATTCTTTACTGGGCATTTTTTTCTACATTTTTAAAATTCATGGTTACAACTTCTGCATGCAACAATTATAGCTCCCTAATGAATATCAAGGTACTGTGTGTGCATAGTGCACATCTGAAATTCCAGCATTCAAGAGGCTGAGACAGGATCCAAATTTGAGGCCAGCCTAGTGTGGCATATACCTGTAACCCCAGGCCTCAGAGGGCTGAGGCAGGAAGATCACTGTAAGTTCAAAGCCAGCCTGATCGCACAGTGCAACCCTGTCTCTCAAAACAACAAAAAAAAGGCTGGGGACATAAATTCACTCAGCACTCTCCCTGGATTCTATCCTCAGTGAACTCCAAGGATTTCAACTACCTAAATCCCTCAACAAAGTGGGCATGGTGGATAACACCTCTAATCTCAGCTACTTGGGAGGATAGGGCAAGAGGATTCCAAATTCAAGGTCAACCCAGGCAACTCAGCAAAAACTTCTGTCAAAATAAAAACTAAAAAAGGATGGAGGTCAGGCATGGCAGCACACACCTGTAATCCCAGCACTTGGGGGGCTGAGGCAGGAGGATCATTTTAAGTTTGCGGCCAGCCTAAGCTACTAGTGAGTTCAAGGCCGGCTGGAACTACACAGCAAGACCCTGACTCCAAAAAAAACTTGGGTTCAATCAATTATGACAACAGAGTTAACTTCTTTGCTTCCAAGAGACTGGAGAAACAGAAAACACAAGCATATATGTGAGTAATGCCACAAATTTGGGTATAAATCATTTCCTGTTACTTCCTCAAAAGTAAGACAAGCTAGAAAATACCAGCCTTGAAAACCAGAGCTCAAAAATGCCAGATCCTACACTCTATTCTTGCCTCAGTTGCCACCACTATTTTCTGGCTTGGTGGCTACTCTGTAAGGCAGATAAGGCAAGGAGAGGTTGATGGGGGAGCTTTAGTTTTCAAGGGTGATTAGTTTTCAGCAAGGTCCTATTTTAGCAGGGGAACAGTAGAGACACATCAGCTGTCTGCAGAGGATTTCATCAGTTACACAGGAGGAAAGAGCCTTCCCTGGATAAAATGAGCAAGGGGCTGAGGCTACAGCCCAGAGGCAGAGCACATTAATAACATGCACAAGCCCTGAGTTAATTCCCAGCTCCTCAGATGCACTCCCAAATCAAAACAAACAAGCTAGCTGAAAAGTACTTTACTCAGAGAATCCTGGCTTAACTATATGCATAGATATAGGAAAGCATCAACAGAGTACCTGAAAGCATACAGACTGGAAGTTTATGTTTTCAGCAACTAGGACATGGTAAGACCAGGATTATGGCTCAGGAAGAAATATTGTGCAGGCCAACCAAATAGTCTACTAGCACAGCCACTCTTTATAGAAACCACAATGTTCTTAACCGAAAAGATACTCAATTACCAACTTGTATATAGGTTCATAGTAGTAATAATCTGATCTGTGTTCTACATTTTCACAAAAATTTCAAAACTGGCACTATAATCTTCAATTAGTCCAATGTCTTAACAGGCGGCCCTAGAAATTCAACTTCTGGGCCCACGAAATTTCTAACATCAAACTCACTTTTGCAACATGGTTCCCTTTTTTGTGCAACATCTTGCAGAGCTGGTAACAGAATCTACATGACTCCCTTTCTGTATCCGTGCCTAGAGTATTCACAGTCCAGAACATCACACATATTTGCCATGAAGAACTTTTTCCTTCCTCAAAATTAGTGTTTAGTGTCTAACTCAGCATATCAAACATTACAAATATGACCACAGGATGAGATGGATAAATACAGAACAGCCAAAGCATAAAAGGCACCAAAGGTTTTAATGTTTAAAGCCTGCCACACTTGAGTATCTAAAAGATTCCTAAAAAGCTGACAAGTACAGCTCACTGCTTGGACTACATCACAATAATGAGTTTATACTCATGCTTACTTACACAGCTTTATCTACTCTCATCCAACATTCTTATTTCACTCAAGACAAGAGCAATTATGTGAATCTATCCATCCCTATATGCAACTTTTGACAGCTAGCCTGAAATAAGTGTAACACATCAAATTTGTTTATATAAATTAACATACAAGCACTTTTAGGTAAATTTACCATGTCTGGAGTTACATTGTTCTTTATATACTGAGAGAACTGTTTCTTGTAAGCATCTTCATCTTCCTCCATTAGGTAACGCATATAATCAGCAACGTTCTGACCCATGATGTGCTTCCGATGTACTTCTGCATTGAACTCCTTGCTTTCAGAATCATAACCAGGGAATCGTTTGGTACTAAAATAAATTTTTTCATGTTTTAGTATGTATCAACTAAAATTAGTTCACTGATAGGAATTCACTTCATTAGCTGCCATCAGTCCCGTCTTGAAACAATGATTACATCATATGCAACCAAAGGACCAACTACTGACTGCTCAGTCAGTGGGATTATCATCATTCAGCAGCTCATCACTGAATCCCAAAGAAGAAACTCATGTGACAACACCCGCTCCATTGGTTCCAAACCCGAGTTCAAGTGATCTTCCTGCCTTAGATTTCCATGCACAGGTGTAGGGCTACAGGTATGGACCACTGCACCCTGTCATAAACACCTTTAAAAACAATTATAAAGCCCATTTAGCACTACCAATTTTGTATTAGCATAGGAAAGGGTTTCAAAATTCATCTCCCAAATCCTCTAATTTCTCAGTAGTGCTTCAAAGTAAAGGAGGATGATTTGTACAAGATTGTAATTAAGGAAATCGTCCAATGAGACATTTTGCACCACACTAATTTGTTTCTAAATGGAGAATTTACAATGCAGACTCATTTTGACTGTTGTAGACAATAAGAAAACATGCAAAAACATTTAACAGATGAGCCAGGTATGTTGACACGTGCCTGTAACCCCAGCACTCTGGAATCTAAGGCAGGAAGACCACAAGTTCAAGCTCAGCATGGGCAACTCAGCAAGACCCTGTCTCAAAATAAAAAATAAGGCTAGGATTATATACAGCTCAGTGCTAAAGCCCTGATTTCAACTTCTGGTGTGTGGGGGGTTGATATCCCTCTATTCAAAATCTCAAACCAAAGGAGCTACCAAGAATTGCCTGAAATATCATTTCCAGTTGAATGTTTAGGAATCTTTCATAAACCTTTTAGATCCCCATTTTTCCTTAACACAGTATATCAAAGGAAAAAAATGCAGAGGAAGAACAGTTTAATTTCTAACCAAAATTAAGTAATATGCAAAAGACTGTGGCTTCCACCCCAGCCCTTCCGCTTATTAAAATACTCTGGATAAATCACTACCTCTGAGCCCCTGTCTCTTCATGGGTTAAATCCATGAAGGTTAGGAACCTCTTCCTGCTATGCCAGATTCCTTTTGGACAGTACCTGGCATAGAGCAGGTATTCAATGATAAGCTATTTTAAATCCAGTCATCTCTATAGTTCTACCAGTTAGAATCAAGGAAGTATAGAAGTCAAGACACGAAGTCTTATACCATACCATACCCATGCCATACCTGTGAGGGATAGACAAGCCTCCATCCACAGCACCCTTCAGAGCTCCAAAAACTTTATTGCCAGTTGTAGTTCTGGCAAGACCTGCATCTAAATAGCAGGTGAAGGCACCAGGTTGACCATCAATGCTTTCCACGTTATATTCATCTCCAGTCACCTCCACCTGGCCTTCATAGATCTTATCCATGCCAAACCTATTAAGAAGCTATAAACAAAGAAAGTGATATAAATGCCTATTTAATATAGTGAAACCACTCTAAAATTAAAATATTTCACAACTATGTAATACTTAATTTGATCCTAACATTCACTCAAGAGAAATAATCTCCACATTTCACCAGTCTTATTTGACTATAATTCAACTACTAAATATAAAATTACATGTGATTTTGTATACCTTAATCAGGAACACAATTTTAAGGATAGGTTCCTGGGTTGTAGAAAACATCATTTGTATTCTATTCTCCAAAAATGCTATTTTAATTTGGACTACTGCGGGTACGCTGTCACCCAGCCATTATTTCAGTTATCTTGTACCTTTACATCAAGTTACTCTCATAATGTTGCCCCTACTTAAACATATTTATAGCCAATGAAGTGGGTGCTTTAACACTTATGTATATGCTTGACAACCACACCACAAAACAGTAACTAAGACAAGAAAAAAAGGCAAAAATCACATCTTCATTCCTCATGTGCATTAATATAGCACATACAAGAAATGCTGTCAGTCGAATACAAAAGTGATTAAAACAAAAATGAAAGTTCCCATCAATGCTCAGGCCCCAGAAGTCAGAAATAATGTTTTTCAAGTTTTAATGTGCATACAAACTACTAGGGACATCCTATCAAGATACAAAATCTCAGTGCCTGGAGTAGAATCCCCACAGCCTGCATTTCTAATGAACACTAATAAATATAGTTCAAAGACCTATACCTTTGAGTAGCCAGTCTTTGTTGGCTAAGTAGCCACAGCTCACAAGCAACTTTTCAAATTAAAATTCAAAGAAATCTGAGGCAGAAGGATTGAGTTTGAGACTAGCCTGTCCTACCCAATTAAGTTTAAGGCTAACCTCAACTACAGAGACCTTGTCTTTTCTCAAAAAAACAAAAAAAAATTCAGTTCCTCAATAGCACCAGCCACATTTCAAGTGATGAAAATAGTCATACTACCCTACCCCACCAGACAGATTACAGATCTATCACCACCACTAAAGAAAATTCTTTTGGATCGAGCTAGTACAGATATACCAACAATCAGGAGAGAAAGACAAGCACTTCACCCAGATTAGTAAAAAAATGCACTGCCATCTCACTACACTTTGTATTTATATCGTCTTCTGCTAAATGGAGCAAGAGTAAGCGCTCTCCTATGGACACAGGTGAGTCTCTTACCCACATGCAAACATCCTAAAGACAATTCTAAACACCAGCTAATCCCAATGAGCTATCATTGAGTCATCTTATACATACCCTGCGAGCCAGCAGCAGGCCAGTACAATATGCTGCAGCATAATTTGTTAGGCCAACTTTCACACCGTATTTTGGTAGTTCATGAGCATATGCTGCGCAGACTATCATATCCCCTTCAATACGGGCATAAGCAATCTATAGGAGGAGAAAAATCAGGTTAGTAATCTGTTGCATTCACTGTTTGTCCTAAGCGCCTTCTTTTTCAAAACAATTTTTAAAGCCCTCAACAAACATAGATCTGCAAAAAACAACAACAAAAAAAACACAGATCTGCATCACTTAAAATCTGTTAAACCCACTCACATCCAATTATTACTTATGACTTGGTCAACTGTGAACCATTTGAACAGATGTATTTAGGTATCTAAACGTTTGACTAACATCACAGCATATAAAGCTAAAACTTCCAAGTAGATATACATTTTGAATAAATTATACCCTAGAGACCTCATGTTTAGTATCAGCATGTAGATATTCCCGGAAACAGATTTGCCAGCTAAGTGCAGTGGTACACGCCTAAGGCAGGAAGACTGCCCGGGCCAGCCTGAACTACACAGACCCTGGAAAGAAACTACACAGACCCAAGAAAGGCAGGAAGGAAGGAAAGAAGGACAGACAGAAAAAGAGAGAGGAAGGAATGCAGGCAGGAAGGAAAGGACAAAAAGAGAGTAAAGAAAATAAAAACAAACAAACAAGTTTTCTGCCTCCTACAAAAGATCTGCAAATCTCAACTATTAGAATGTTTCCCAGTTCTAGATGTTGTGAACACTAGAAACTGGTGCTTTAGAAATTCTTTTAAGTAGGACTTTTGTACATTTGATTAAAACCTGCTTCAAAAGGGCCAGGAATTTAGCTCAGTGGTTGTGCTGCCCGCTTCACAAGCACAAGGTCCTGTGTTCAATCCCCAGTACCAAAGAAAAAAAAATGGAAGTGAGATTAAAAATGGGTCAAAAGGGCTAGGGATTTAGCCCAGTGGTTCCGCTTGCTGCCTACCTCACAAGCCCAAGGTCCCAAGTTCGATTCCCGGTACCAAAAAAAAAAAAAAAAATCCAAACACCCAAACATGACTGATATTCCAATTAGCTAGTCTTCAATTCTAGACCTACTAAAAGTAAATGAACCACTCAACATCCCACATAACCCATTTCTCATATACTATGCTTCCCAAATACACCTTCTCTAGCACGGTAAGAGGGAATGGGTTTTTATTACCACCCACTGCCATGAGTCTAGAATATAACTTACCTGACAAATGATATCTCTGTTAGTTACACGAACTATCATCCTGTATTTAGGTGTGTTGTACTTATTTTTGTCCTGGATCACCAAGCGTTTCCGAGCATAGTAATCAGTTTTGCCCTCTGAAAGAAAGAAAAAGTAAGAAGGGATACTATACTGTACTACCTTACAGCATTTTTTAAAGGCTTAAAACATGAAAACCTGTCATACCTCGTCTTCTTCTAAACTTCACTTGGTATCTCTTAAAGTAGGCCTTATTCTTGACAACTTTAACAAACCCCTTAAAGAAAAAAAAAGGATGTTATCCAAACTGATGTTTTTCACCTACACTTTTGACATGATTTAACCATATTAACAAAGTGACTTTTCAAGAGCAAACATATACAACTTCCAACTTTTGTAGCATCTCATGTTTCGCAAACTAGGCTCAATAAACACTTCTACTTTCCACCTGTCACCAAGTTTTATAAAGCACAATAAAAGGATTCACTACAAAAACTGGAAAGAAGCAACATAAAATGCAAGCTCCACCTTACTAGATTCGACAGATACAAAACTACTGACGCGTTGGTTTTAGTTTTCAAACATATTTTGTGTCTTTTCAATGACAAGGAGTGCACTTTTAAGAACCACTCATCTACACATCAGTCAATAGAGCCAAACGTCCATCCGTTCCCAACACTGTATTTTCCACTTAAGGACCCTCAGAAAACTACAAATTTCTCACTTCTCACGCCCCGGTGCCTAAACCGTCGGCCACCATACTTAACCAATAAAATGTGCCTACTCCCAACTAAAGAAATACTTCACCCCACCTTTGGGGTCCCGTACCAACAACCATTGCTAAGTAGAACCAGTGATAAACTAGAAAAAGAGGGAGGAGATGCGTACCCCAAAAGAAGTGAGCGCGCCTCCGGGGCCCTTCCATGGGCCATTTCGGGAATGGGCCACGGCCTCCAAGCGCCACTGAGAGTTTTGGCTTCAATAAAAGCCACTTCCCCTGCCCAGGAAGGGGCAAAAACTTTCTGAAAGACTGGCCAGGGACAGCGCTCTCCTGGAAAACGCACGAAGCAGCCGGGCCGAGTTGGGTCCGGAGACTCGCACCCCGCCTCTCCACTCGGCATCCCCCTTCTACCCTGGAGCCGAAGACAAGCAACCTCCCCCGCCCGGCAATGCCGGGCCCCTTCTGACCAGCTACCAACATCCCTGCAGAACGGCTACTGCACACCCTCTCCGGATCCCAGGTTCCGGCTTGGGTACCATTCCTCGCCCACCCCTCCCCCCAAGTTTGCGCACTGGGCGGCAGCCATTAAGGCCACGCTGGGAGCGGCAGCTCGAGCACAACACAGCTGAGAATCTAACGCCATCCACCCTCTGCGCCTCTCAAGACCGGCTCCGCGCTGGCGTCCCGGCACGGACAGGGAAGCCCTGTGCATCCGCAGCCCTGAGACTGAGGCGCCCACTTACCATCCTGAGGAATAAAGACCCGCTTACGCGGCTCCTCACAGACCTGCAGGCCCAGCAGCGCTACAGGGGGGGGAAAAGGCCGGAGCTCGTGCGCAGGCGCAGTATGTAGCGCTACCGGTTACGCCTGCGACGTATCAAAGAGAGAGGTCCCCGGCCCCAAAGTTTGCAGCTTTCTGCCTCCTGCTGGTTGGAGGCTGAGTGTTGAATTTTGCCTTGTCCAATCCTTGTGACAGTTCCTGGTTGAGGATCTTACAGGAATGGGCAGTGCGCAGGCACAGGGAGGCTTATGGGAGGCTTTCGCTGATTTTGTTAAAGCGTTTTATCAAAAACATATAATACTTTCCTAAGCAGGAAAAATAAGTGTAATGAATCTGCCCTGGAGCCCTCTTGCCCTTTCCAAGATTCTGCCGCCTGGAGCATGTAAGGCACCCTTAGGAAGCTTGCCTGAGAGCCTCAATTCGGGGCTAGGGACCGTTTTGTCTTTGCACAGCACCTTCCGAACCCATGGCACTCAGTACGGTAAAGCTGGAGGTGTAACTCAGGGACAGAGCATTTTCCTAACGTGCAGGAGGCCCTGGGTTCAGTTCCCAGAAACACACACAAGGAAGGCGGGGGAGAGAAAGGGAGAGGAAGAGGAAAAGGAAAGGGAAAAGGAAGGGAGGCAAAATGGCAGTATGCTGCTCTATTTGTTCAAAGGTCTTTTTCAATTAGATTATGTATGGTCATCTATCAGAGTCAGAAAATGACCTCAATTTAGAAAAAAATTCTCTAAAATTTTAATCTTTTTAAAATTTAAAGATGGACATGGTGGTACATGCCTGTAATCCCAGCATCCAGGAGGCTGAGGCAGGATCACAGAGAGTTGAAGGCCCACCTAGGCTACATAGTGAGTTCAAAGCTAGCCTGAGTTGTATAGCAAGACACTGTCACAAAAAAAAAAAAAAAAATTTAGAAAGCCAAGTGCGGTGATATGTGCTTGTAATCCTAGAATTTGGGAGGCTGAGGCAAAAGGATTACCAGGAGTTAGACACCACTTTGAGCTACATAAGTGAATTCAAGATCAACCTGGACTACATAGCAAAAATGATTTTTTTGCCAGAGACTCTGATTTATTCTTTATTCGGGCACTTTTGTTGTCTGACTTTGGTCTTCTAGAGCATCTCACGTTTTAGCTAAAGCAAATCCAGCCAGGCATGGTGTCACACACCTGTAATCCCAACACTCAGGAGGCTGAGGCAGGAGGATCACAAATTCAAGACCAGCCTGGGCTACATAGTGAGTTCAAGGCCAGCCTGCACAACAGAGCAAGACCCTTCACAAAAAACATTTTAAAATTAAAATTAAAAAATAAAGCAAATCCAGCCAGACTTGATGGCATGTGCCTATAATCCTGGCATATAGGAGGCTTATGCAAGAAGATCCAGAGTCTGAGGCCAGCCTGGGCAACTTAACGATACCCTGTCTCAAAATAAAAAATGCTCCATGTGAAGGCCCTGGGTTCAATCCCTAGTACTGCCCCACGCACATACACGGGCATACACACACACCAACACACCTTGCCTTCATATGAGAAAGAAGGATGTGATAAGTTAATTTGTTTTTTACCCTTAAGTAAAAAAAATTCCATTACTCAAGCGGCTGGCACTCTGAAGTATCGCCCATTTAAAAAGTCAACAGTGTCACACACCCGAAGTCTTTGTGACCTTCAGACACAGTTGCCTTTTGTTTTGAGGACACAGCACAAGAAATTTGGAGTAGCATTTCCCTGGGGCCTAGGTGTAGATCACCAGGGCAGAGGCTTAGAGTTTCTGGTCAGAGTTCGTGCCAAGTTGTAAGTGACAAAGGCAGCCTGAGACTGTACTTCATTTTTGTTTTGAACCCTGTACCCATTAATACATTTACTCTCTATATATGTTTGTTTCTGTGCAAGGCTTTACAAAGTATGAAGTGCGCTGCATACTGAATGAGCCAGGGAAATTAGTACATTTACAAATAACTATTTTGTGCTTAGTGGTTGCTTGGTACAGAGAGAAAACTCAAACTTTGAGGCATAAGTAAAACTTGTGATTTTATATGAGAGCAACAGAAAAAGGTGCCCTTACCTTCTAGCAAAATTGAGCAGCTTTTCAGCTTTTATGTCTAAGGTTTAAATTATAATTTTGAAATGTTCACACAAAATAATTAAAAATTAAGAAGTACAGGGCCAAGCAAAGTTTCTTCTTGTCAGGGTCAAAGGAAGTCACCTTTTGTAAACCTTACACCCACCGCAGATCACAGGACCTGAAGTGTTGGTGCCACCCTCTGCTGGACTGCTCTGTGAGATGTTGGCCTCCACTGAACTGCTGTGAATCTCGATGACTTAGATTTTACTGCAGGATGATGCAGAAAGGGGACTCCTGGGTATCTATGCACAGTATTTTAAAACATGGGCAGGAGATGCAGCTCACTGGCAGAGCACTTGCCTGGCATACACAAAGCTCTGGGTTCTCCAGCAGTATAAAAAGAAAAAAATCAGCCAACAGCTATTGAGAAAATATACCTCATGCTCTGTACTAAGCAATTATTATATCATCTCATTTAATCTTTAAAACTGTTGCAATAGCTTCTTTTTCTGTTGTTTTTTGTTTTGGGGATATTTTTTTGTTTTTTGTTTGTTTGTTTGTTTTGTTTTTGAGACAGGGTCTCACTATGTAGTTGAGACTGACCTGGGACTCACTGTGTAGCCCCCAGGCTGGTCTCAAACTCACAGCAATCCTCCTGCCTCAGCCTCCCGAATGCTGGGATTACAGGCGTTTGCCACCACACCCGGCCTTGCAATAACATCTTTGTTGCCATTTTACTAATGGAGAAATGCATGCCACACCTGTCGCAGTGGGACTCAGGTGTCATTGATATCATTTTTTACTCTAGGAACGCCTTAAAACTGTGCTAATAGGGCCAGGGATTTAGCTCAATGGTGCCTCCATCTTCCTGCCAAGTGCAAGGTCCCGAGTTCAATCCCTGATACAAAAAAAAAAAAAAAAAAAAAAAAAAAAAAAAAAAAAAAAAAAAAAAAAAAAAAAAAAAACCAAAAAACCGCGCTAATACAAGGACCTGGTACTCTGAAAAATTCATAAGTGTGTACAATTGACTTTGAGACACCTTCAAGGATGAAATTGTGAAATTGGGTTAACTAGAATATGAACATTCTTTGGCTTAACTACAGTTCAGTTTGTTTCAAAATAAAGGTGATGCCGGAAGTGGAGGTGCCTGTCTGTCATCCCAGCACTCTGCGGGGCTACAGCAGGAGAACCACAAGTTCCAGCCCAGCCTGGGCATTCCAGCAGAACCTTGGCTCAAAATAAAAAAATTTTAAAAAAGAAAGAAAAAAGGGACTGAGTGTGTTGCTCTGCACAAAGACCTTAGGTTCAACACCCGCTACTGTAAATCAATAAATAAATAAATAGGAACTTGCCAGCCAAGGTGGCACATGCCTGTAGCCCCAGATACTTGAGAATTGAGGCAAGAGGATTGCTTGAGCCCAGGAGTTTAAGATCAGCCTGGGCAACATAGTGAAATCCTCATCTCTTAAAATAAAATAAAATTTAATGTAATGATTTAATTTAATTTTTTAAAAGGTAAAACTCTAGTTAGTAAACTGTCATCCTTTAGGCCCTTAAGCTAAACCTGAAGCAGTCCTTCAAAAAGCCAGACAGGACAGCTCACTCCTGTAGTCTCAGCACCCAGGAGGCTGAGGCAGGAAGACCGCCACCAGTTCGAGGCCATCCTGGGCTACATAGTTCAACACCAGCCTGCACTACAAAGCAAGACCCTGTCTCAAAACAAATAAAATAAAGGAACAAAAAATGACTATAGTTTTATTTTGCTAGTTTTTCTAGGCTTAAAATACATGACTAATGGTAAATTTCAAGAATCATTTTTGAGAAATTACGTAAATAACATCTGTCTCCTTGAGCTACTCAGGCATGCAGAGAAGGCATAACATATACACATGAAAGGTCACTAAGTTCTTTCAAAGAAACAACATAAAATTACTGATTCTTCCCTTAGCACATTGCAATAATGCCAATTTCTTCAAGGAAATACTACCAATAAAGGCGTAATTATATTTGTTACACCCGACATCAAGCACAGGGCATAGCACTGTAGGTAATTCCCATGTTTAGGAGTAGGGTCAGCATCTTGGGGAGTCTGTGCTTAAAGGAATCATCTGAATGGCACTTGGGATGAACATTGTAGCCATCAGATGAGTGTTTTAATACAGGAATGACGGCAGGATTCAGAGTGAGGCCATAGGTCACATATGCAAAACATACTTGATGTAGAGCAAGTAGCACCAAACATCTTCAAGTCATTCTTGGTGTCTCTCTTTTTCTCAAATTTCACATCCATTTCCTAGTGGCAATACTTTAAAATATATACGTAAACCATTCCCCCCAAAAAACAAAATAGGAGGGAGGAAGAAAGGGCGGGAGAGAGGGAAGAGGGAGAGAGAGGAGGAAGAGGGAGAGGAGGGGAGGAGGGGAGAGGGAAAGAGCCAGTGGGGGCGTCTGGCTACTCCTCATCCACGCCCTCCTCGCCTGCTACCACCCCAGTCCAGGCCACCACTGCCACTGTCCAGGTGGCTGCATTCACCTCTTAACAGTTCCGTAGTTCTGTCTGCTTGGAACCTTGCCCTCCTACAGTTCATGCTCCACACAGCCAGGCTATTCTTTTTATATTCTTTAAAATATAAGTCAGATCACGTCATTCCTGTGCTCAAAACCCGCATGGCCCAACCCCACGTCGCAGCCTAGAGAGGCCTGTATGCTTTCACCCCCACCGCGTCTCTCTGTCTTCCTCACTTCGCCTTCCATCCCTTCCTCATCCTGCTGTAGCACAGTGGCCTCCGACCATGCTCCTCCCAGGATTCTTGCACTAGCTGTTCCCCCTGCTTTAACTGCCACTCACCAGGCTTCGATTTGGTGTCCGCCTTACCTCTTCAGCTCTATTCACTTGTCTTTTCACAAAGGCCTACTCTAACTGCTGCATCTAAAACAGACCCCACACTCTGCACATCCTGCCTTTTCTCTATAGTATCTACTACCATGTACCAATTATACATCTGATCTACTAATTTGTTTATAGTTCATCCACCTTTCCTATCAGAAAAGGGATATCATCTGCTGCAATCAATCACTACTGTATTTCCAGCATCAGAGTTTGGTATAAAATAAATTTAATGAAAAAATGAAATGACTATCATACTTTGGAAGACACACAGTAATCTCTGATCATTTGTTCCAGTTGTTTCACATGTTAATTGGTCTGTAATAATCTTCTTCAAAATGCAGAGGCTTCTTTTTGTTTTTTTCAAGCGATATAGTCTTGCTATGCTGTCCAGGCTGGGCTCAAGCAATCATCCTGGGCTCAAGCCTCAACCTCCTGAGTAGCTCAGAGTGCTACTGTGTTTGGCTTTACAGAAATTTTAGAAATGAGAACACTCAATTGTTTTGCTCATGAAGCTGCAATTTGGGCAACACTCAGTTTAAAAGTTTTGACTGTGCTCCATCTGGCACCAGCAGAAGTAGTTCAATGGGTGCCTGGAGTCCCCACATTAAGGTGCCAGGAGCATTGTTCCTTTCCACGTGAGCCTCTCCATGACTTCCTGGGCGTTCTCACAGAATGGAGGCCAAGTTCTAAGACTGAATGAGCAGTCATTAAGTCACTAAGACTTAGAAGTGCATGGTACGGATTGATTTCAATGTACTCTGTTGGTGAAGACGGTCATGAAGTCATACCCATGATGAGGGAGAGGGACATGGATTTCATCCTCTAATGGGGAGAGTAGCATGACTATAGAAGGGCATGAAGAATGGAAGATATTGTTGCACCACTAGCTATCACTAAAAAATATAATGTGCTGTGCTAATTAAACCAGTCATTGAGAAACTGTAAATAATTGTCACCACAAACACATCAGTACATATGAAACTGTGTTACATAATAATATTAGTCTCACGTTTAAAAGTTACTCTTAAAGCCAGGCGTGGTGGCTCACACCTATAATCCTAGTACTCAGGAGGCTGAGGCAGAAGGATCGAAAGGAGTTTGAGGTCAGCCTGGGCAATACAGTGAGTGCAAGACCAGCCTGAACTGCATATTAACACCCTGTCTCTTAACACCAAAAAAAAAAAAAAAAACCAAAGAAAGAAGAGAAAAGTTACACTTAACTGGGTAGGCATACCTCTAGTCTTAGCTACTTGGGAGGCTGAGGGAGGACAATGATATGGGCCCAGGAATTCAAAACCAGACTTCATCTCAAAAAAGAAAAAAAAAAGAAAACATTATGCTTAGAGGATCTCAGAAAAAGAAATGTAATTTCTGTCTGGATTTTACTCTGGTATCACTTGCCATGCTTCTTCAGAGTCTATAATCATTTCTTTTTTGTCTGCTTTTTTGAGACAGGCTCTTGCTTTGTAGTGCAGGTGGGCCTTGAGCTCACTATGTAGCCCTGGCTAGCTTTGAACCTGCACTGATCCTCCTGCCTCAGCCTCCCAAGTGCTGGGATTACAGGTGTGCACCATCATACCCAGTTTGAGTCTATAATCACTTCTCAGGACTGGATTCTTCCCCCTTTCTTTCCTCTACTCTTAAACAAATATATAAATGAATATAAGCTAGGAATACAATAGAAAGTTAATAAATTCATTCTTGCCACATATCATTCTAATCTTTTCTTTTCTTTCTTTTTTTTTTTTTTTGGTACCAGGTTTGAACTCAGGACATTGCACTTGTGAGGCAGGCGGTGGCACCACTGAGCTAAATCCCCAGCTCTTTTCTTTTTGTTTTCGAGAGGGGATCTCACTATGTCACCCATGCTGGAACTCCTGGGCACAAGGGATCCTCCTGCCTCAGCCACCCAAGTAGCTGGACCTACAGGCACATGCCAGTGTGCCCAGCTAAATGTCTGAATTCTTAACTTATCACTTTCTTAAATGTTCTTTGTTATGGTTTATATCCAGCTGATCCCCAAGAGCCTCATGGGTGCATACAGTGGGCTTTTGGAAGGTAAGTGGACTAGGGGGGCATATACCTGACTTGCCCTTAGGAGATGGGGTATTGTTGGAAGAGGCAGGTCACCAGGGAGGTGCCCTGGAAAGATTTATCTCTTTCCCCCAAGTCCCTCCTCACTCTTTCTGGTTCCTGGTTGCCATGACTTGAGCAGCTTCCCCTCTTCCATGCTCCTTGCCATGCTGCCCCACCTTGGAGCCATCTGACCATAGACTGGAAACACAAGCCAAAATAAGTCACCCCTCCTTTAAGCTGTGGGTGTTGTGTCCCAGGGAGGAGGAAAGTGACTAAGACAATCCTGTGGAATTATCTAGACATGGACCAAAATTCAGGTTTTTGTGAACTATAATAACTTGTTTATAATCTTAGTCAGTTTTTCTATTGGCTTGTTGGCTTCTTTCTCTATCGATTTGTAAATGTTCTGTATGTATAAAGAGCACTTACTATTTTTTCCCCTGGGTTATTGCTTATCTTCTAATTTTATTGGAGGCATTGTAAATTTATGGTTTATCGTGGGTAGTTGGGTCTCATTTGCAGTACCGCTAAACACCAGAAGAGAGCGTGTGACCAGAAAGCTACTGGTAGATGAAGCTGGGTTTCTAGAAGCTGAAGGAAAACGGAAATGGAGGATACAGGGGAAAACTTGGGAAGAGCTTGCCAAGATTTCTCTATTTCCAATAATGGAGAGACAGGAATAGGAATGGGTTTTAAAAGGTGTTTTAAGTTTGAGATGGTTGGGGGCTTGCCTCGGGAAGAGGTGATTGTCAGTCTGAGGTGTCAGTGTTATTATTCCCAAACCAGAAAGAAACAGCGCTTCGCGGATTTTATATATCCTGCATATGAGCACTTCTGAGACTGGCCAAAAAATAGGGGATGTCCTAAGGGTACTTGGGGTTTTTTGTTTGTTTGTTTGTTTAACTGGAGACCATGGCCTTTGCCCTGAGCAACTTCCCCAGATCTTCCCCACTGTTGTTTTTTGTTTGTTTTTGTTTTTGTTTTTGTTTTGCGGTACGGGGGATCAAACTTAGAGCCTTGCACTTGCCAGGCAGGCACAGTGCCAGTGAGCCATGTGCCCGTCCCCCCCCCTTTTTTGGGGGGGTCAGAGTTTCACTATGTAGCCCAGGCTGGCCTCAAACTCAGGGCAATCCTTCCTGCCCCAGCCTCCTGTGCGCTGGGATTACAAATATGGGCCTTCATGCCAGGCTCACTACATATACATTTGTTAACAAATTGTAAAATAAAGCCTCTTTCCCACAGCAAAGGTTTTTTTTTTTTTTCTATAAGAAGGTAGGTACGTTTTTCTTGTTCTACCAGAATCTTCTCAGGAAGAGCACATTACAGCATTTGCTGGAGGAAATACTTGGATAAGATCTGTTGGGGAAAGTGAGACCTCAAGGACATGCTGAAGCATCAGGCTACTTTAAAATGAGAGACCAAAAAAAAAAGAATGCCTAAAGCCCCAGGTTCAATCCTGTCCTCAGCACCAGAGGGGAAGAAATGTGATGTATTTCCATAAAGTTAGGGAAGGGAGAGGGGGTTTTATAAATGCCAGCCTGTAATCCCAGCATGCACCAGGAAGGCTGAGGCAAGAGTAGCTTGGGCTTGGTAGTGATTTTAAAGTCACTCTGAAGTACATGGCAAGACGTCTCAAAGAAGAGAGAGATGGGGCAGCAGGAAGATGACACTTCAGTGAATCACCCCAGAATTCAAGACGTCTCAAAGAAGAGAGAGATGGGGCAGCAGGAAGATTACACTTCAGTGAATCACCCCAGAATTCATTTTGTTCCTTTCATGCTGTACACTTGTGCACCCTGTTTCTCTGAGATGAATGTTATCTGAACTTGTTTGGTCTGAGTTTTAGAGCAAGCAAGTTTTAGGTTTCAGCCTGGCTCCGGTATTACTTTCCTGAACCCCAAATCCTTTACCTCCAAAGTAACAATAATAATAATAATACCTATCTCCCAGAGTTACTATGAGAATTAAATAAATACTACTCAATGCTTACTCTTATTAGCAGTATTAAGAAAATACCAAACAGCCTGATTCCTACCTTGCTGGTTCATGATCTCTTGGTTTATCTATTGAAATGGATATGGGAAAGTGCCAGGACCTGAACACAAAGGGAATGTTTCCTGAATAGGACTAGACGCTCACTACAGGACAGCCCAGTGATAACAGACAGCCATAATGGAAGGCTCCATGGCAACTTCTTGGCTAAGGTCAAATGTTTCGTGATCAGAGACCTAGTCATTTAAATAAGGTTTTATTCCATGTGGGTGCTAGGAAAGATACCCTGGGAATGACTGAATTATTCACACCTTGAAATGAATAATTTCAGCCTATCTTTTCTGATAGGCCTGGGTTCAATCTCTAGCACCTAAGTCAATCTCGAAGTCTCTAGCACCTAGTCATATTAATAATATTAATACAAAGATTACATCATCCTCATCAGTTTTCCAATAAATTCCCAATTCAGTTAGAATAAAACTCGTAGACTCCACAGCCTGTTGAGCTGGCCTGGCCTACTTCTCCAATTTAACCTTTTATCACTTTGTCCCTGGTTCACTATGCCCTAGCTACTCTGATCCTTCTAGGAACCTACTAAACTTCCTTCTGCTTCATGATCTGCTTCACTCTGGCTAGCTTCTCCACGTCATTCAAATGTCAGCTCAAATATCATTTTGAAAGGCCTTTCCTGACCCCCTATGTATAATAGGTTCTACCCCTGAGCTGCCTCTAACTCATCTTGTTTTGTTTTCCTCATACCCTTCAGCACTGTGTGACATTATCTTATGTTATTTATCCATACATTTATTATATATCTTCTCTCATATTAGAACATAAAGTTCAGCTCTGCACAGTGGTGCTTCTGAAAATGATTAATCATTTGTTAATCGGACCAAGAGAGAAAAATAGAAAAACTGAGACAAGGTGAGTCCCAAAGACAAACCTGAAGGATTTAATGATTAAAATGTTAGGCATTTAGTGAAGAGAATCTATCTGCAAAATCTTGATGCAGCAGATAGTGAATCTGGGCAATGCTGGACAAGTCAACATGGAGAATGAAACTTCCATCTATGGGTGTTGCCTTCAAAAGCAGTGTAGGCGGTTGGGCTTGCGGACCTGCCTCTCATTCTTACATTGCTTACCTTCACTTTGGGAATTTTTCTGGGCTAAGTTTTGTGGAAGTTTCTGTAGTGCTGGAGTCCGGGGATCACTGTGAGTGAGTTGGTCACTAGCAGGCCTGTGACTGTCAGCTTTGGGGTACTTTCAGTGATTTGACCTGGGGCCTAAACAATAAGAGACTGTAAGAGACCAAAGGAACTTTTAGGGGTTAGATTTAAGTTCAAATCCTGACTCAATGGCTTACTAGTTGCATGACTTTAAGCAAATTGCTTTAACTATTCTAAAATTTAAGCTTTACTCTCTGTAAAATGGGATTGATAATCTACTTATCTCTTGGTCTCATTGGTTGGTACTAAATAATATACTTGGCACATAGCAAATGCCCAGTGAAATGCAGCTATTTTTGTAAGAGTATTAAAATGGAGTATAATGGTGTTACTATCTGGATAAGGTTGGAGTGTCCCCCTGCCAAGAGTTGTGTTAGAAGGTTGGTCTTCCTTATAATAATGTTGGGCAGTGGCATAATCTTTAGAAAGTGGAGCCTAAGCTGGGCATAGTGGCATATGCCTACAATGCCAGCATTATGGGAGGCTGAGGCAGGAGTGTCACAATTCAGAGCCCAGTTTTGGCAAGTTATTGAGTTGCCAAGAATTTTTAAAATTTAAAAAAAGACTTTCCAAGAATTTGAAAAAAAATTTTAAAGGACTGGATCTGTAGCTTAATGCAAGAGACTCTGGGTTCAGTCAAAAGTGCAAAAAAAAAGAAAAGGGCGAGGATGAGAGAGAGAGAGAGGGAGGGAGAGGGAGGGGGAGAGAGAAAAAGGAAAGAAAAGAGGGGGGAGGGAGGCAAGTAGAGAAAGGAAAGAAGAGAAAGGAGAGAGGGCCTGGTGGAAGGTGGAGGTGCCACCTTCAGAATAGACTAATACAGCTCTCATGGGACCCCTAGTTACCCTAGTCAGTTCTCAGATGAGGTTTGTTAGCTTCAATTTTTTACAAAGTCTTGCTGTCTAGTCCAGTCTAGTCTTGAATGCACTCTGTAGTCCAGGCTGGTTTCAAACTGGTGCCAATCATCCTACCTCAGCCTCCCGAGTGCTAGGATTATAGGTGAGCATCACCACACCTGGCAGAAGGTTGTTAGAAAAAAAATAACTAGCCCCTCTCTGCTCTCTGGTTTCCTCTCTCACCATGTGATTTCTCCCTCTCCCCTGTTCTCCCACTGTGATGCTATCAACCAGCAAGGTCCTTGCTAGAAATAACATCATGCTATGTGGACTTTCATCCCCTCAATGCACATCTCGTCTTTGTTACCCAACCTCAAGTGTTTTGTTATAGCAATGGGATATGAAGTAGTATATATAGTTAGACTTACATATTAACTGTGCTAAGCCATAGCACACAGTTATTCAATCAATTACTAATGTAAGCGTTTGCTTTGGATATTTTGTAGATTTTTGAAGATATTTTGTAACATCTAAGTAAAGGAGATTATGTTCGATAATACAGATAGGCTTCAGCTAAAAAGTGGAAGGCCTAAAGAGAAAAGAGAGATTTCCTGGAGAAGAAATTCAGCCTAAAGTCTTGCCTGAGTCCTAGCCAGCCAGCCTATCACACAAATGTCAGAAGAAAGCCTGAAGCATCTCCGGGCACAGTTGGCACATGCCTGTGATTCCAACCGTTAGGAGACTGAGGCAGGAGCGTGGCAAGTTTGAGTCTATTCTGAGCAATGTAGTGAAACCATGTTTCAAATAAAGAGAGAGAGAGAGGCATCAACTCCTACATAAGTTGCCATTCTGCTTTATGGATTAAGACTAAGCCAAACTGCACAATCACATGAGCCAATTCCTTAAAATAAGGGAATGTGTGTGTGTGTGTGTGTGTGTGCACGCACATGCATGCATATGTGTGCATCCTATTGGTTGTTTCTCTGATACATGGGGTATACTCTGAGCATAGATCAACACATGGCATTGCATGCCTTTAGTCCAGGGTACTCAGAAAGCAAGGTAGGAGGACTGCTTACTCCCGTGAATTCAAGACTGCCCTGGGCAGTTGGGCATGGGGGCACACACCTGTAATCCCAGCACCATGGGAGAGGCAGGAAGATCGCAAGTTCAAACCCAGCCTGGCAAATTAGCTGCTTAACAAGACCCTATCTCAAAATAAAAAACTTATGGACTGGGGATGTAGCTCAATACAGAGGCCCTGGGTTCAACCCCTGGTACCACAAAAATAAAACAAAACAAAAAATCAGCTCGGGCAACATACAGAGACTTTATCTTTAAAACAAAAATCCTCCAATAGCTCATGAGGCCCAGTTAGAACTTCCGCAGGAAGTGGAAGTCCCTCAGCTATTGTTTAACACAAAGTATCTGCACAAAGCCAAAGAACTATCGCTTGCTATTATAGAAGACCTTCCTTCCCTGCGAGTTGCTTGCTTTATGACCATCCTCAGGAATTCACAGGAAGAGCTGTCAGAGGAGCCTACTTCCCTGTGACTCAAGGTTAGCCCGACGGCCCTGCTATACCAGAATAAAAAAGACTGGCTTTCCCAGCCACCTGTTCATTAGTGACTCTGAACAGAAAGTAAGGGCCACAACACGCATGAATAACAGATACCTTCTCCAAGCCCCAAGGATTCCAGGGGTGGACTCTTTCCCAGTCTATGTCACAGATGTTTCCCAAACTATTATAAATATAACCTATTGATTGAGATCAGAGTTGGGAGCAGTTATTTTGGAGTTCCCAAAAGGTTCCTAGCCATTGATTAAAGCTCAGATAAACTAATTGCTATATATGGGCAAGACGCAGTTACTTAAACAAGATGTATTTGGACGTTTCTCATGTTAACAATTAAGATTTTTTTAAAAAACAAGATTTTTAAAAATCTCCTTGTCAAATGATTGAAAGCTACTAAATTTACAAGAGGTAGAGGAGTAGCTCAGAGGGAGAGAGTTTGTCTAGTAAGTGGAAAGCCCTGGATTGCATCTCCACAACTACAAAAAAACAAACCAAACCAAACCACCAAACAAAAAAATCCCTTAAAAATCAAGGCATTACTGCTTGAAGACCATTCCTACAAAAGAAAACCTAACAGACTGTGGACTGACTGTCTCAGTGGGAAACTTTGTTGGAAGCGAGTACTATAAACACTGAATGCCTCCTGATTAACACATTTAAACACACTTATGTGTGGGGTACTGAAGACTGAACCCAGGGACGTGTTTATTTTGAAACAGGGTCTCACTAAGTTTTCAGGCTGGCCTCAACTTCATTGTCTTTCTTTTTTTTTTTTTTTATTTTAATACCAAAGCATTTCATTGTTTGCACATTTTTTAACAGTGATGATTTTTCTATTGGTACTTTTTGTATATATAGGGATAACACTCATCATTTGTACCTGTACATAATGTATCTTGTTTCTTTGTTTCCCATTCCCCTCCCCATCCTTCCACCCTTCTCCTCCTTATTTACAAAAGCCATGTTTTCATTTTCCCTCTATCCTTTTTTTCTTTCCTCCTCTTTCCTTTCCCACTCCCCCATCCCTTATCTGCTTCTCAGTTGAACGTTTTCTTCACATTTCCCAATATCTTTTGTATAGTTTCGTCCTGAGACCAGAGAAACAATGTGATATCTAAACACATATGTTCAATTTATCTCGCTTAATAATATAGACTCAAGCTGGGCATGGTGGCTCACACCTGTAATTCCAACACTCAGGAGGCTGAGGCAGGAGGACTGCTGTGAGTTCGAGACCAGCCTGGGCTACATAGTGAGTTCCAGGTCAGTCTCAACTACACAGTGAGACCCTGTCTCAAAAAGAAAAAAAAAAGAAGAAAGAAAGAAAGAAAATATGGACTCAAGGTGCATACATTTAGCTAGAAATGTCTCAAGCTTAACATTCTTTATGTCAGAGTATTATTCCATTGTATTAAAAACCACATCTTTATCCTTTCATCAATTGATGGGCATTTGGGTTATTTCCAAGATTTAGCTATGATGAGCTGTGCTAGTATAAACATGGGTATGCATATTTCATTTTGGTTGGATGCTTTTAATCCTTTTGAGAAGATACCAAGAGAGGGAACATTTGGGTCAAATGGGTCTAGTTTTCATTTTTTGAGGAATTTCCACACTAATTTCCATAGTGGTTGAACCAGTTTACATGCTCACCAAGAATAGAAAAGGGTTTCTTTTTCCCCACATCCCCACCAGCACTTATTATTGGTTGATTTCTTGATAATAGCATTCTTTTTGGAGTGAGTTGGTATCTCAGTGTTGTTTTAATTTGCATCCCTCAAATGGCCAGTGATGTTGAAGATTCTTTCATATACTTATTTGCCATTTCTACTTCTTCATCTGAGAAGTGTGTATTTATTTCAGATGTGCATTTTTGGCTGGGGGTCTGGGTTTTTTTAGCTCTTTATATATTCTAGATATTAGTCCTTTGTCTGAGGAATAGCTGGCAAAATTTTTTTCCAACACTATATGTTGTCTCTTCACTCTGTTGGCTGTTTCTTTTTGTGTACAAAAGCTTTTAAATATGATGAAATCCCAGTTGTTGATACTTTGGAATACTTCTGTGTAATCAAGGTTTTGATAATAAAGTCTTTGCCTACACCAATGTTTTCAAGAGTTCTACCTATTCTTTCTTCCAGCAGACTTAGAGTTTCTGCTCTAATATTTAGATCTTTGATCCATTTTTACTTTCGTTCAGTGCATGGTGAAAGAGAAGAGGCTAGCTTCAATCTTCGGCATTTGGAAAGCCAGGTTTTCCAGGACCATTTACTAAAGAGACTGTCTTTTGTCCGGTGAAGGTGTTTGGCTCCTCTGTTAAAGATAAGGTGGGTGTGTGTATTTAGAGTTATTTCCACATCTTCTAATCTTTTCATTGATCTTCCAGTCTATTGGGTCCTGTTTTTTTTTTTTGTACCATGCTGTTTTTTATCACAGTAGCTTCGTAGTGTAATTTCAAGTTGAGGATTGTGATGCCCCCTGCCTTGCCTCTGTTGCCCAGAATTGCTTTTGCTATTCTAGTTCTCTTCTGGTTTCAAATAAATTTTAGGATGATTTTCTTTAATTCTGTGAGATATGCTATTGGTATTTTGATTGGGATTGCATTAAATCTGTATAACAATTTTGGAAGTATGGCCTTTTTCACTAGATTGGTTCTTTCTACCCAAGAACAAAGGATACCTTTCCATTTTCTGATATCCTTTTTCATCTCCTTCAGAGTACTGTAGTTTTCCATGTAAAGGGCTTTAGATCAGTTCCTAGGTATTTAATTTTTTGGATCGTATTGTGAAAGGTGTTGTTCCCTAATTTCTCTCTCACTGAGTTTGTTATTTGTGTACAGGAATGCTATTGATTTTTGAGTGTTAACTTTGTATCCTGCTATGCTACCGAATTTGGCTAATAAATGTAGAAGTCCTTTGGTGCAGTTTTTGGGGTATTCTATGTAATCTGCAAATAATGATAATTTAACTCCTCCCTATCCTATCCGTATTTCTTTTCTTTCTTTCTCTTGTCTGACTGCTCCAGCTAATGTTTCCAGAACTAAATTGAGTAAGATTGGTGACAGCGGACATCCTTGTTCTGTTCCTGATCTTAGAGTGAAAGATTTCAGTTTTTGTTCATTTAGTATGACGTTGGTGGTTGGTTTGCCATAGATGGTTTTTATCAGATTGAGATAATGACCATCAATTTTAATTTTCTATAGGGTTTTTATCATTAATAGGTGTTGGACTTTATCAGACACTTTCTCTGCATCTATTGAAATGATCATTTTTTTTTCCTTGGCTCTGTTAATGTGGCATATTACACTTATTAATAGGCATATGTTAAAACATCCCTGCATCCCTGGAATGAATCCTACTTGGTGATGTGGTATAATCTTCTGGTGGTTTGCTACATTCTATTTGCCAGTATCATATTGAAGACTTTTGCATCTATGTTCATTAAGATTGAGGACTTTTGCATCTATGCTCATTACAGAGATAGACCTACAGTTCTCGTTTTGGTTGTGTCCTTCTCTGGTTTTATTAGCAGGATGATGCTTCCAAGATTGAATATGGGAGTATTGCTCCCCTTTCAATTTCATTAAAGAGTTTGGGAAGTAGTTGCATTAGGTCTTTTCTAAATTTCTTGTAGAATTCATCAGTGAATTCATCAGGGCCTGGGCTTTCTTTGATGGTAGGTTTTTAATTACATCTTCAATTTCATTGACTGATATTAGTTTATTTAGAATTTTTATATCTTCTTTGTTCAGCTTTGTATCTAGGAATCTACCCATTTGTTCTGTTTTCTGTCAATTAGAATACAGGTTCTCAAGGTAGCTACTGATGATCTCTTGGATTTCTGCAGGATTTGTTATGATTTCAACCATTTCATTCCTATGTGCATGGATTTGAGTCTTTTTTTTTTCTTTTTTGGTAAGGTTGGCTGAGGGTTTATCAATTTTATTTACTTTTTCAGAGAACCAACTCTGATTTATTGATTCTTTGTATTGTTTTCTTCATTTCCATTACATTAATTTCTTCTCTGATCTTTATAATTTCCTCTCTTATGCCTGCTTTGGGCTTGGCTGACACTTCTTATTCTAGAATCTTGAGGTTCAACATTAAGTTGTTTATTTGATCTTGCTCTTTTTTCCTAATATAGGTATTCACCA